TATTCCCCAGTGTTTGAAAACCACCTACATAATTTCCATTCTCTTCCGTCCACTCCCAACCCAACCGTCCCACCCCACTCCCCTCCTAGCTTTACTGTTCAATGTACAGTACACGCAGAAAGAGAAAGCTGAACTGATGAAACGGAACTGACCAAAGACTGAAAAGCTTTGAGAAATTGTCTTTGTGCTTCTGACAAAGTTATATGTAATGCAGTCCAACCAGAGTAAGAAAGGGAGAAAAATATCATTTCAAAACTATGTATTTTGCCTCTTATTATTTTAGGTCCTAATATGCTTCAAGTCTGGAAACAGTTGACAATCCCATAGTTACAGGATGTAAGGAAAGTGAGGGTAACAGAACAAACAATATTACTTCCAGTGGCGCTTTTCACTGATCTTTCTTATTGATTTAAATTTCTCTGTTTACTGATGAGGGCTATTCTTCTTTCCCTAGGGTAAATATAGGATACTCTAATTAGCATCATAGTAATGATTATAATACTTTCTTGCTCATTTAGAGATCACGCATCATATTTTTAAACATCTATTAATAAGAAGCCTCACAACATTCCTGTGAGGTAGATATGTGGATCCCCATTTTTAGATGGGTTAATAGAGGCACAGAGAGGTGATGTGACTTGCCTAAAAACTTGGGAAAATACAGAAGAGAGGCAAATCAGGGGACCACCCAGTTGTCAGAGATCCATTTTAGTAAGAAAAAGACAGTGCTAAGTGTTTCTTTAAACTGGGCCCATGCAGTTGCCTTCCCACTCACACACAACGGAAGATCAACAAGCTTCCTTGACTTATTCCAGGTTAGGTCAATCACCAATGGTTTTTGCTTCATGTATGAGAAAGCATTTAGGGGCTAGAATAGAATTGAGGATACAGATAACTTTAATTCAAGAATCTTGTAGACCATTCCGGTTCAAGGAGTTGTGAAGTTCTAAAAATGTTACTACCATAAGCACCGGGTTCTAGTTGGTTGATTTTTTCTCATGGGTATAAGGAATAACACTTAGGTCTCTGTTCATATGTATATAAACTAGACTTCAACAATTACAGAAGGTGGATCTATGGTTCTCACTGTTAGCATGGAAGGCTATGGAGATAACTAAGGATTATAGACAATGGTATGAATTCATATACAGATAATAAAGAAGATCACATGTGGAAATGTTTATAGACACGTGCATATATATAGCATAATATATATGCATATATTTCTATTGGCTGAAAAGCCTTGAAGAAATAATATCCCCAACATAGCAAACACATATAGTGCACAGACCTTGGTTTCTGATACAATTCTTCAGTAAAAGGAATTAGAACTCATTGACGAAATGTCTGATTATGAAAGTGCCCTCTACAAAACAAAAGCAAGATGAACCTGGAACATCTTATGACACTAAACCTCAAGCACATGCTGAAAAACAAATGATGGGGTAGGTAAAAAAGACTTAGGAATTAATTGAGCTCCTAACAGTCAAAGCTACAATTTGGGCAACAAAATACAAGTAGCATTGGATTATAAAATAAACTATAAAATAAATATCAATGAGTCCATGTTGGCATAAATAATTATGAAAATAAATAAATGGGAAGGAGGTAAAGCTCCCATGCAGAAGAATTCCAAAGAATTTATGCATTGCTCTCAAGAACATGGTTCATAACTCACCATTTCCACATGTGTGGGCTGCACATAGTAACTTCCTTCCAAACAGTATAGCATAATAGGAGAAGGGGTCTATGTGAGAAATTTCACATATACTATCCCAGCCATGTGACTGAAGATAACATGAAGAATGATAAGCTACAGAAATATGATGTTATGAAAATAGTAACTCACTTGTGTGCTTGTTCAGGCCCAAATCCACTAACCTAGTCTTTTCATGAGAAAAATAGCAAGTAAATTCCAACTGAAGAACATGCTCCCAAGGTCCTTGCAAGCAAGGAGACGCTGTCACAACTAAAGGAGCTGTGACGATTAATATAATGCAGTATTCTGAAGGAGATACTAAAACAGGAAAAGGACAACAGATGAAAACTAAGGGCGTCTGAACACAGCACTGACTGCAGTTAACATTAACGTATCAGTATTGTTCCACTAACTGTAACAAGTGTACCATACTAATGTACAATGTGCAGTGAACAGGAACTCTGCTCTACCTTCACATTTTTTTTATGAAAACCTAAGAGTTCCAACATGGAAAATTTATTTAAAAAGAAATTCTTTTTATAGACATTTGTGTTCTGCACATAAGGAACCCCACTAATTCATCAAACCAATTTATATTTTCTATATTTTACAATGGCAATTATCAATAGTTATATTCAGCTGCCAAAATGTCTACAGGAGGAATTCCACTGTAATAAATTCCTGAATATTATCATCCCATTGAGATTTCCATATCTCAATGTAGGCAAATGTCATACTAACAGTGCTTTGCTGTTGTAAGCCCGTTAAACTTAGTTGAAGCTCAGATGTTAACCAAAAGAGACGCATTTCATTTTCTTTCTGCTCTACCATCTAGCAAACGTGCATGTGCTTTTGGTGCAGTAACTCTACACTGTACTGTGTTTGAATCTCTTTACTCTGTGAAAATTTCTTAATTATGACACATTTTTAAAGAATATGTTTGTAACTAGAAAGATTTTACCATTTTTGGAAAAAAGGGCAACAAGAACAGGGTTTAAATTGTTTCGTGACTAAAGACAACGAACCAAGCATTTGCACAGTCTATTATCACTCTGCAGAAATATATTTGAATAAAGGCTCAGAGATGCTAGGAACATCAACACTTAGGATCCTAATTTGATCACCCTTATGAGTACTATAATTTGATAGTGCTCATTTGTAAATATATGTCTCAATGTTAATATTGTAACTATATGTCTCAATATCCTGAAGTCTAAGGGGCACATGCCAATTCTGAACTCTGGAAAACAAATCTTAGGATCTAAAGTGGGAAAAAGGTAGGTAACCCTTCGGACTCTGTTCTATAATATTGCACCAACTACTCAATTATAAGCTTAAGCCCATGCATGGTAGTAATATACATTTATCAATCTGTCATACAATGTGGTCCCCATTAATAGACTGACCCTAGATATTTATTAGTGCTTTAGTAATTAGTATACATACAGCTTGAAACTTGCATACCCCAAGTCAGGAAAAATCCTATATGAAGATAATGATAATAGGAAAACCTATATGTCATCTTGAAAAACACAAGTAGGTCTTAACTTATGGAGAATTTATGGCCTGGAAACAACAAGGTAAATAAAAAACAAAACAAAACCATCAAAATGTGAGACTAGAACCACTGTGTGCATGGCGTTAACGGCAATGGCCATAAGCACATTCTACCTACTTTGTCCTCAACTATAGATAAATTTTGAGGATAACATATAAAATTGGACAAATATTGCAACCAATCACATAATTATTTTCTTTAATTTGGTTTACTAGTGTGATCCCTGGGAGGAGTGTACAGGTCTGTAAGGCCTCAAGGAACTATCTGGAGAAAGAATTGAACCCGTATTTGCCTCATCTGGATAGAAGTAGACAGGACCCCTTCTAGATGGTAGAGTTCTAGGATTTAGATAGAAAGGACAGCCACAGGAGGTAGTAACCTAAAGTGTTCACGCTAGAACTTTCGAATATCTGCCAAGAAAAAAAGGTTTAGTACGAAGACAACCTTTAGGCAAGAGGCTGCGTCCAATTCTACTGACACAGAGCCCCTCCCCTGTTTCCCAGGAGATGGGATATGCCACATGGAGGTAGATCTGAGGTCCAGGGCCAGGAACAGAGGGTTTTCTGCCCCAGAGAATATTAGGAACAGTCTGATTGGGCAACCAAATGTATATTATGCATCCTGCTGTTATGCCTAAAATAAATTGGCTTGGGGATTGATAGCAGTTCATATGTCAGTGTCAGAAAAACAATCTTTTCTATCTCACAAAAAAACAGAAGAAGGAAAGCCAAAAAAAAAAAAAATGGCACGAAGTAAACAAAATTCCTTTAGTGCAACCCCTCACCTCTGTATAACATGCTCAGTGTGCAATTTCTCTCAGGTAATCAGACTAATGGTTGCTTCATGTAAACAAAAGAATCAACAGTACAATGTAACCCATCGAGAGCGCCTTTGCAACAGGCTGCCCTTTGAATGAGGTTTGGGATTAACAGCAGTGCTAACACCTTATCCAAATAATTGCTCACAGGGTCCTCCCAGGTTTGCTTTTTCCTGTCACAGCCCAACACCCTTTCCTAAGATACTTCTCCCTATTGATCTGTCTTTCTGTGCTTTGAATATTTGTCCAAACTTAATCTAAAAAGAATGTAATTGTGCCATAAAACCTTTTATAATAATTATAAAGGAGCATGAGGAGGAAGAGGAGGTCAAAAAAAAATCCCTTCATTTCTTTGATGGACTTCAAAAAGGAGGGCTGGTATTGTCTGTAAACCAAACTGGTAAGAACAAGTAAAACTGGATCTACAAAACCTTTGGGGTTAGAATGAGACTCTGTATTTCAGACTCAATTCTCTGTAAATCTGACCAATCAACACCCTTATGCCCCTTGTACCTATGACTTTGAAAAAAAAAAACCCTCATTTTAGGACATCACCAAGTGACTTTAAGTACTGGTTACAATATATATATATATATATATGGATAAAAGTTTTATAAAACAAGAGAAAAGAGGGGAGCAGCGGAAATTTGTTCACAGCCTTGAGTTTGATTCCTGTTTTGTTTGTTATTGTAGGAAAAATGTCTATAACATAGCATAAGGGATCAGGGAGGGCAACCATGGGCGCCACACTAGAATTCAACCCAGGAAGAGGTTGACAAAACTGAAGTCTGGACAGTGGAGAGGTGAAAGCGGACTATGAAGAGCCACATGGAGACCAGCTTACTGTTTCTCCAGTCTCATCAACCTGGCTCAGTAGGCTGTTCTAACCCCAATCACAGGGGCAAGTTGTAGTCAAAAGAGGCAAACACAGTCTCGACCTCAGCACACACTCAGGAGACCAGTGCAGCACGTCTGTTGTGGCCTGGGATATTCACATGGTGTCATGGCGCCGGCGGTGTAGGGACAAGTGGTCAGATCGAGAAAAACTGCGATTGCAGTCTGTGCACCTGAACGGCTTGATGCCCGTGTGCTTACGGAAATGGCGAGTGAGCTCATCCGAGCGAGCAAACTTCCAGGAGCAGCCGTCCCAGGTGCATTTGTAAGGCTTCTCTCCTGCAGGGGGAATACGGCAAAATTAAGGTAATCAGCAAATGACTTGCTACCACAAACACAGCAGAATGCATGAGTTATATTTATATCAAAGCTCGAGTCCAAAAGTAAGACAATCACAGTAAAGGGGTACACTCATTCACCTTTTTAATTAGTTAGCTTAACAAATAAACATCATATTGCTTGTCTTCTACAAGTTTCAAAATACGCAGACACTGTGGACTGGTTAAATCTAGCTGATTAGCATATGCATTATTTCACACACTGCCTTTTGTAGTGAGGATACCTAAAAATCTACTCAACTACACAGTGCTGTTTGCAGAAGGTCTAAACTTAGGTTGAGACAGTAAAGTGGAGAGAAACAGTCTTTGAATCCTGCTTCTACCACACTAACCTACAGTACACAGTCACTTTGCCCTGGCCAAGTGCATTTTCTCAAATCTAAACAGAAGCAGAAATATCCCACAAGGTTGTTCAAAACATTTTAAAAGGTAGGCAGTGGAGGCTAGACATAGGAAAGCCTGCCGGCACTCCTAGCACTCAAGAGGGAGAGGCAGGAGGAACAAGATTACAAGTTTGAGGCCAGGCTAGTCTACATAGTGAGTTCCAGGCTATGCAAGGATACATAGTGAGATACTCTCTCAAAAAGAAGTAAAAAGAAAAAAATTAGATTGCTAGTACAAACTGTATTCCCCTAGCTGTGACCAAATGCCTGGCAAGAAGCAAGCTATGGAAGAAAGGATTTATTCTGGGTCATGGTTTGCAGGCATGCAGTTCTTTAAGGCAAAGTAGACATGGTGGCAGGAGGCTCCATCATGTCAGGTGCTCGGTTCAGTGTGTACTCACATCTCTGCAGATCAGGAAGCAGAAAGAGGAAAGTCGGGCTGGGCTGTAAGCCTGCCTCCCAGAGATTCACTTTCTACAGCCAAGCCCCAACTGCCAAAATTCCACAACCTCCCCCAAATAGCACACACAAGCAGCTGGGGGCCAAGTTTTCAAACACAGGAGCCTGTAGGCGGAATTTGACATGCAAACTGTAACACAAATCCAGGTGGCTGCCACTTTCTACTCGACTACTTGAGTCTAGCTATAGTCTTTCATCGGATACTTCCTAATGGCTGATCTGAAATGAATCCATCGACAACAAGAGCACGTGATTCAATGGTAAGAGCACTCAGATGAAGCTTGCTTGCTCCTCTGTCCGGTCATAAACTCCTCCATGGAGAGGAATGGGGAGAGCTATCAAGCTCCATGCTCTGAATCTTACGGTTAAAACTGGATTATATATGGGACATGTATGACCAGGAGAGGAAAAAAAAAATGGAAAAAAGTAGTACAGGAAGAACTACCAAAGCACAATCCCATTATATGCATGGGTCATATACCACACACTTATACACTCAGGGTAAAGGAAACATCGACACATTGAAACAGAAATTATAGGAAAAGTATCAACAATGGGAAAAGTGAAGATGAAGGATGGCAGGAGACTTTTTTTTTTTACAACTTTTTGTACTGTTTGAATACTTTAAAATCAGGATGTAGACATATATAACATATATGATAGACATCATATATATTATAACAAAAAAATAAGCCAGGACTGGTAGTGAACATCTGCAATCCTAGTACTAAAGAAAGTGAGGTAGGAGGTCCAAGAATTTGAGGCTAGTCTGTGTTCCTAAGTGAGAAGGCATTGCAGAAGTTAATTAGTTGGGGCTGGAGAGATGGCTCAGTGGTTCTGAGCAGTGGCTGCTCTTACAAAGGATCTAGGCTCAATTCTCTGCACCCATATGGTAACTCACTACCATCAGTAACTCCAGTTCCAGGGGATCTGATGCCTCTATGCCTCTTTCTAGCCTCTGTGGCACCGGGCACACATGTGGTACACAGGCATACAGGGGAAACACCCATACACATACAATAAACATAAATAAATCTAATTTTTTTTCAAAATATGGTTTCTCTGTGTAGCCCTGGCTGTCCTGGAATTCATACTGTAGAACAGGCTGGTCTCAAACTCAGAGAGATCCTCCTGCCTCTGCCCCCTGAGTGCTGGGATTAAAGGTGTACATCACTACCACCCAGCCAAAACTTTATTTTAATTAAAGAAAGTATGCTATGTGAACAAATACACATTAACTGTGGATAAACGCAGATCACAAATCATAGTAATATTTGTTTTTTTCCTTTATACGCTTCTTTGTTTCTCATCTACTAGAATGAGCATTATTTTATAATAAAAGACAATAAATAATGCAGACACAGAATGTATTAGGATTCTAACAGTCTTTGCTCTTCTATCCCTCTTTTCCCCATTATAAAATTTCTGAGGCATTTGCTTTGTGCTGTTTTAAAGTCTGGTGGCAATCAGATTTGCATCTTCTCTTTTGACTTACTGCTTGCCGCCTTCTAACCCTCTCGAGTGTTCACTAATTACTTAGTAGATAATGGGCGACAGAATTAAATCTGGTCTCTCTCACAGGTTTGGAGCATTACCAGGAAACTATTTGGTTGACTAAAGATGTTAGTTACTGATCATTTCAGTATTCAGAAATTGCTGCATTAGCCTTTAAGAAGAATGGCACACAGCTGAAAGCATTAAAGACTAAAGACAATCTGGGTGTAGTGGTACACACCTTTTATTTCAGAACCACAAGACTGCACAGGGAGACCTCTGAGTTCAAAGCCAGCCTGGTCTATATAGTGAGTTCTAGGCTAGGCAGTGCTACCCTGTCTATCTCTTTCACCGAACAAAAGAAGAAACTGGTAGGTTATGTAAGATTATTAACATCTAGAAAGAACAACAGGATCTCAGAGAATGTAGGAAGTGCAAATGAGGGTTTTTTTTTTACTTTTATTCAACATAGTAGTAGCCCATCTCCACACTCCACAACAGTTTTGCTATGTATAGACTTTATTGTAACTGCTCAAGGATTTCTCCTAGGAGATCCTATTTTCACTACACCCAGATGAATAATAACCAACGTGTTGAGGTAGTGCCACCGTGTGGCAATCTGAGCTCACTGCTAGAACACTCAGATTCAAAATAGTTCAGGAACAAGTCCCTTTTTCTATTTCAAGATCTTTGCCTTTTATTATGGTTAATGAAGCTTTTGTTCAAGTTAAGGTCAGTGTCATCTAGACACCAAAACTTGATGAGGACACATAAAAAAAAGAAAGCAAACAAGGTACAGGACAACAGTCTTGATGAACACAGACACAAAAATCATCAATAAATTATTTTCAACTCAATTAAACAGCATATCAAAAATAAGCCATAGTTAACTTGATTAAATTCTGGTGTGCCAGGATGGATCAACATACACAAATCGATAAATGTAACATAGTACATAGATAAGATCAAAGATAAATATGCCATGATAATCTCCAAAAATGCAGGACAGGACTCTGATACAGTTCAACATATAGTCATAATATAAGCCTTGAGGAAATTAAGAATAGGAGGATCACACCCCAACATTATAAAGACTATCAGCAAGTCGATAGCCAGGATAATATAGAATGAGGACAAACCGGAAGCATTTCTTGTACAATAAAAAAACAAGGCAAAGATGTCTATAATCCATACTCCCTTTAAATACAGTGCTTGAAATTTTATGCACAGCAATAAAACAAAATGAGAGAGAGAGAGAGAGAGAGAGAGAGAGAGAGAGAGAGAGAGAGAACTGAGATGGACTTCTTCACTTGGTAAAGGTGCTTGCTGCCAAGCCTGACAACCTGAGTTTTATTTTTCTAGAATAAAAATATAGGTGATACTCAAAAGGAAGCAAAAATAAAAGCAGAACCCGATACTGAGTAGATACCGTTATGACTGTTCTGCGTCCCTTTATTGTCACTTCATTAGCTCTATGCTGTAAACAGTGAACCGGAATGGCTTCCTAAACCCTTTTCTAGCACTGCCATGACTCTGGTTCTTACAAGCTATATAATAAAATGATGTTGAAAATGTATGTGCACTGCAGTCTTTTAATTTTATTTTCTTTACCTTCCTTCCTTCCTTCCTTCCTTCCTTCCTTCCTTCTTTCCTTCCTTTCTTCCTTTCTTTTTGTTTTTTAAGACAGGATTTCTCTGTGTAATAGTTCTGCTGTCCTGGAACTCACTCTGTAGACCAGGCTGGCCTCGAACTCTCTGCCTCCTGAGTGCTGGGATTAAAGGTGTGTACTATCACTTCCTGGCTCACTTGAAATTGATATGGATGTACAAAAGACCTAAAAAGCCAAAGCAATCTTAAACAAAATGTTTATGATATTAATGCTGAAGGTATTATAAAATACACTACAGAGCAATAGTAACAACAACAACAAAAAACCAGTGCTGGTAAAAAAAAATCAGACACATAAACCAATGGAATAGAATAAAGACCCTAGAAATAAACCCACATGTCTACAGACATTAAATTCTTGACAAAAGAAAAAAATTATGTTTTGGTACAAAATAACCCCAAGAGGTTATGTGGGGCTATGTGTTGATGACTTGTCCCTAGTTGGTAATGCTAGAAGTGACTGGATTATGAGGGTTATAATCAATGCTTAATCCATTGACGCTCTTAAAACTTTACATTATTCATAAGTGATGGAAAACACAAGACAGCGCCTGCATAGAGGATGGGAGCATGAAGATATATATACTCAGAAAGCATATCTTGTTCATGGCCCTTCTTTGTTCATCTGTGTCTCTTGTACACCACCATGTGGTGAGCCGCTCTCTTCCCTGACATGTTTTCTCCACAATGTTCTGCTTCACTGGAAGCAACAGAGGCAGGTGACCACACACTAAAACTAGAAACAAAAATATAATTTTCTCTTTAAAGTTGATTTGCTCAGCCACACCTCTAATTCCAGCACTTGGGAGGCAGAGACACTTGGATCTCTATGAGTTTGAGGCCAGTCTGGTCTACAGAATGAGTTCTAGGACAGGCTCCATAGCTACTGGGAAACCCTGTCTTGAAAAACCAAAAGAAAAAAAGTTGACTTGCTTAAATATTTAGTTACAATGATGAGAAGCATCTAATGCACACATATTGGGAAAGATCATCTGTGACAATAACTGGTGCTAAGAAAACTAGATACCCACATGGGAAGCATTGAAAATATCTCCCTATTTCTCACTAAACAAAACTAAACTCACAATGGCATAGAAACTAATGTCAGACCATAATTTTGAAATTTAGAGGAAATATGTAAAATACTTCAATACTTCAAAGAGCTCAGTAAATAAACTCAAGATGGGGTGAAAAATTAAAATGCATCTGCAGAATAAAGAAATAATCAGCAAAAGACACAACCAATAACGTGAGAGAAAAATCTCTGCTAGCTACGCATAAGAGAGAAGATTAGTATCCAAAATACGCAAAGAACTCAATATAATAGCAAATGAGTAATTCACTCACTAAATGGGAAAATGATGTGGACACTCACTACTGAAAAGAAGTACAAATGTTCCAGTAAATACATGAAAATATGCTTGGTTTTCAGTCATCGCAGACACATAAAAGGAACCCGTATGCTACCCTAGCCTAGTCAGAATAGCTAGCATAATAAATAAACCAATACAGCACACTATGGTAAGAATAATATGGAAAGAAAGATTCCTGGTATACTGATGGTAGAAAAGTAAACCAGTACATAGAAAACAGTATGGAGAATCCTTAAGCAAAACTCAAAAATATGATGGGTTTGGTATTGGATACTTAGAATTCCAGCACTTGGGAGATGAAGGCAAAAGTATTAGAAATTCAAGGTCAGTCTCAGTTACATAGCAAGTTTGAGGCCAGGGGTGGCTACATGATATCCCATTTCAAAAAAAAAGTGAACAACAAAAGAAAACCAAAAGAAGCTCAACGGGGCTGGTGATGTAGCTAAGTTAGTAGAGTGCTTATACCATGCATGATGCCTTGGACCTATTGACTGCATGGCACTGCAAAACTAGGCACAGCAGCACATTCATTTGGACGGTACCAGGCTTTCTGTTTCGCTAGACTGTTCTTGGTGTTAGGATAAGAACAATAAGATGAAAACCCATAAGTGATCTTCTCTTCCTTGTAGTTTTTCTCTCTCCCTCTAGCCTCCTCTATGTATGCAGGTGTGTGCTGGAGCTGGAACAGTGGGGGGTGAGGTGGGGTGAGGGACAGACCTGTATGGATTCTGCGGTGAGCTTTCAGGTGAGAGCTTTTGGTGTACACTTTGCTGCATCCAGCAAAGTCACACTGGTGAATCCGTCTTCTCTTTAAGTCGAGAGAGTCTTCTCCCTGCATTTGGGCCATCGTTGCTGGTCTAAATAAAGGAAGAAAGATTAGACTAATTACAGTGGTGGGATTTCAGACCATTTTATCATTTATGCAAATTCAATGCTAGCTCCCTAAGAGAAGAAATAGCTGGAAGAATGTAAGCAATTCTTTCAACTAGGCCAGTCTGCTTAGGAAATGCAACTCACTGAGAAAGCACTGGAGGTGGTAATTTTTCTTTGAGTGGCTACGATGTCAAACAGTGTGAACATTTCACTTCAACATGTGCCATTATCATGCTTAACAAAATGTATTTTTCATATAACATGTTTGCTCATGAAAGAGATAGCTTGATAGAGGAAGCCATTATGGGGTTAGGGAGAAACTGGTGCTAGGGAAATTCCCAGAAATCCTCAAGGATGACCCCAGCTAAGACTCCTAGCAATAGTGGACAGGATGCCTGGGCTGGCCTTTTCCTGTAATCAGATTGATGACAACCTTAATTGTCATCATAGAGCCTTCATCCAGTAACTGATGGAAGCAGATGCAGAGATCCACAACCAAGCACCAAGCCAAGTTCCTGGAGTCCAGTGGAAGAGAGGGAGGGGAGATTACATGAGCAAGGGAGGTCAAGATCATGAATGGGAAATCTACAGAGACAGCTGACCTGAGCTTGTGGGGGCTCACACACCCTAGACCAACAGTGGGGGAGCCTGTATAGGACCAAACTAGACCCTCTACATGGAAGTGACAGTTATGTAGCTTGGTCTGTTTGAGGGGCCCATGGCAGTGGGACCAGGATCTATCTCTGGAACCCATTCCCTATGGTGGAATGATGCCTTGCTCAGTCTTGATGCAGTGGGGAGGGGCTTGGTCCTGCCTCAACTTAATGTGCCAGGCTCTGCTAACTCCACATGGGAGACCTTACCCTGTCTGAGGAGTGAATGGTAGGTGGGTTGTGGGAAAGGTGGGGGGGGAGCAGGAAGAGGAGAAGGAGGGAGAACTGTGGTTGGTAATTAAAATGAATAGAACATTTAAAACAAAAAATAAAAAAAAAATCATGGTTGCTTAATGCAAGCTAATTGCTTCCAATTCCTTTCAAGATTAGAAAGCCAGGCTATTAGAGAAAAACACTACAAAAGTACACACACTTATATAGTTCTTGGGGAAAGCAGTTAGCTTATACTTCGTTTTCCTCAATCTTTTACTGCTGTGTTCTGTTAATTCTAACTCTATACATGCGTGCGCGTGTGTGTGCACACATACACACGCGTGCACACACATACACACGCGTGCACACTTTAAATACTCATTCTTGCTGCAATCCCTGCTGACTGTGTAAGGCATTCTAACTCTATACATGCGTGCGTGTGTGTGTGCACACATACACACGCGTGCATACTTTAAATACTCACTCTTGCTGCAATCCCTGCAGACTGTGTAAGGCTGAAGATCCGCTCTCAATTGCACTCTCATCACCATCACTTGGGAACTCCAGTGGAGACATGGAGGTGGGGTCAACTTTGACTAAAAAAAGAAAGGGAGTACTATAGATCAGGATGTGTGCACCGCTACAGTTATTTTCACCACGACAATTATTTTCAGGATTCCCACATTAAGAAGTAGGAGATAGAAAAATCTTGGAAAAAAAGAAAGAGGAGGAAGGCAGTAACTACTAAACAATTTTTTAGCATAAGAAAGGACAGAGGTGTCTCTGAAGGAAGGGTAGCAATGACTGTCCTCCCATCACCAGAATGTGAATTTCTCCAGGACACGATCTAAGTATGATGTATCCATCCCTCTACCTCCAGCTCCCGTTTCCCGGGTTTGTAGGAAAGATGGGTTCCATGTATTTTTGAGACACTGAAGTCTCTGAAGAGTTCCCTGACTGTCGTGAGAGAATTCCTAGGATTATCCCAACAATCACAACACTCAAAGCTGATTGTAATATTACACACATGGTGATGGCAAATATTTCAGACCATGTTAGAAGCAACAGATTTTCTTTTATCGTTTCTGATTATGAACAAAATCAACATAATTCTGGAAAAGGAACTTTTGTTGAGGACAATGAAAGACGGGGTTTAATTTATACGTTCTGAATTCTGAGCTCACTTCAAAAGTTAAATAAGACAGGCCTGGTGAAACAGACCTGTAACACCAGCTACTCAATAAGCTGATGTAGAAGAATCACAATTCAACAACTGCTAGGTTAATATATGTTAAACCAGTCTGAGTAAATTCGTGAAACTGTTATCTCAAAAAAAGGTTTGTTTTGTTTTTTTTAATCAAAAAGAAGGCTGGGGGGTTTAGTTCAGTAGAAGAGTACTAGTAGTACCACAAAGCATAAATAAATAGATAGATGATAGCATATGAAACTCTTCCAAGCAAATTTTCAATCTTATTTGTTCAACAAATGATCTGTAGTTAAGTACTAGGGAGCCCTGTGCTGGGTGTCCCTGGAGAGGTACAGAGTCACATCATAAAGTCTTCATGTAGGAAAAATGGCCTCATACTCTTGAAATCAAATAAAATCTTCAAAGCAATAAAATCTTAAAAAGAAGGTCACAGACGTCAAATAAAGGGCTTCCCAAGAAACGTGGCTATATTGCCGAGACTTTTCTATAGAGAACAGGGACGGTGTGGTGAGCCACCACTGAGCTCGGCTAAGTTACGGCCCTGGGAGGAATAGTGAGTTTTCTAACAAAGCGTTCCTAAAGGCACAGATAGCAAATAGCGCAGTAATCTGGGAAGGCCCAGGATGAACAAGGTCTTACTGAGTGCAGTTTTTTAATTTAGTTTGTAATTTAACTCAGAGTTCAAATTTTGCATTTTCTTTTAAAATAGCACTATTTGTAAATATAGTGATTTAAATTATTAATTATCAAAAAAACATAAAGATTCTAGGAAGAGACGTGCTATTTCACTCAAAAATATGCATCTTTGTTTGAGAAACATGTTCTATCTAACGGAGATCAATTATAGGTTCTTTTGTGACAAGGTCTCCTTGTCACAAGTTCCTTGCCACAGTGTGGCCTGGAGCTTGCAGTCCAAGGTTAGTCTGGGACTCTCCTACCCCAGCCTCTCAAGTACTGACATTACAGATATGTGCCAAGACACATGGCTCATTATACATTCTTAAGCATTATATAGAAATTATTTTAGAACCACTTTTTAAAAAATGATAATTTAAAAAAAATCTCCTTTGAAACAGTGTCCCTCCCAACTGGAAGAGGTGAAAAGAGACAAAACAGAATGACTGAGAAAGCAAGTTCCCTGACTACAAGAAGCTGTAAACCCTGCACTCACCTGACCCAGCATTTTTGCCGTCCCCTCCAATGAGTGGGACAGTAATAGCTGCAGGACTCCCGTCTGCAGGCAGACTGGTATAGACCATAGGCAAAGACTGCACCACCAGTGGGATTGTTTTTAGTCCACCCATCTTATTTGGCAAACTGACTGAGGGGATGGTGTGAATCACATGTAAAATCGGCTGGCCCGCCGTCCCCTGAGAGGACGCCAGGATAGAGCCTGGAGTGAGAACGGTAGGAATGGCCGGTGAAGGGCCTGTGTCAGATGAAGTGGGCATCGCCATGGCCTGGGCTGCAGATGGTGGCTTGGGAGGCCGTATTGGAGCTTGCAGCATGCTAGCAGGCTGGAGAGGAGCCTTCGGCTTGTGAAAGGAGAGGTCAACTGGTTCCACCTGGGGCAGGTTGAAATCACTAGCCAGGAGCTCTTCTGGAGGCTCGATCTTGATATCATTAAACAGGGCTGGGTGCTCCATTGGGCTGGCATCCAGGAGTGGGGAAGAAGTCATATTACTTCTGTGTGCTGTCACAGAGGGATCTCTGATCTGAACAGGGCCAGTGACCTAAAATAAATGAATATGAGGTGAGACAGCCACTGTTAGTATTCTACAGAGACACAGGAACAATGAAAGAAAGAAATCTCTACACTCATGGAAAAGATACATCATATTGAAAGAAATGAGACTGTAATACACTACAGAATAAAAAGGAAAGAAAATGGTACTATGCACCAGTGTTAAGTATTGACACTACTGTATCGTACAATTGATAAAAATCCTTTAATTAAATTTTCATGGCCGAGCAGTGGTGGCAAACGCCTGTAATCCCAGCATTTGGGAGGCAGAGGCAGGCAGATCTCTGTGAGTTCAGGGCCAGCCTGGTCTACAATAACTAATTCCAGGACAGCCAGGGCTACACAGAGAAACCCTGTCTCAAAAAAAAATTCACAATCATAGAGCTAAAATGAAATTCAATTTTAACTCAAAAAATCCAATAAAAGGATGTTCATTTAGAAAATAGCTCTTGAAAAAAAGAGCAGAAACCATTTACACAATGGTCCTGCAAAGGTAATGTTCTAAGTCCAATGATAGCAGTTACGAGTAAGACACAGCAATGCTATTCTTAACTTACTTATGAATAAGGCACAGCTAAGTATATACTAACTAGAATGTTAGAATGAGTACCTTGCAAGTCATACTGAAATAAGTAATGTGACATATAAACAAGATGCTTCAGAGAAACGAGGAAGTAGATGTAGCACAGTGGTACATCATTTGCCTAGCAAAATCAAAGTCATAGGTTCCACTTCCAACATGGAAAAGATTTGCTTGGGGGTGGGGGGTAATCTGTTCTATCTAGACAGGGAAGGCTTTACGGAGAAGGTGACAGTTTAGGTGAGTCAGAGAATTAATAGGCTTTCCCAAGGAGAGAAAAGAGGTAAGAAGAGCACTTCTATTAGCAATGGTGTGTTAGTAGATAACAGGCACAGGGAATATGATACAGGGTAATTAGTTGAATTTACATGCAATGTTAAATTTTGTAAGTTCTAAAATGTGGAATAATTAAAAATTAAATGCACATCTATCTATAATCCCATCAATTGGGAAGTTGAGGCAGGAGAGTCTGAGGTGAGAGGACTGTGAGTCTGAGGCCAGCCTGAGATACACAGTGACTTGGCCTGCATGCATACACACATGCACACGCATCCATGCACGCAGACACACAGAGATAGAGATAGAGAGAGACAGAAATGCAGAAACCCAGGCAAAGACATTTGCACCCCCACAGTCACTGCAGCTGTTTTTCCAATAGCTAGGACATGGATGAACTCTGTCTAGCAATTGATAAGAGGATAAAGAGAACATGATAAATACACTCAATAGAATAGTATTCATCCTCAAAAGGAATAAGATCCTGTTATCAGTTCAACATGGATGGAACTGGAGATCTTTATTTTAAGGAAAACAATGGAGGCACAGAAACACAAGTATCACATGATCCTATTCATGTGTGGAAGCTTTAAATAAACTCAATTTGCACAAATTGGGAACAGAAAAATTGACTACCAGAGCTTAGGGACAATGGAAGGAAGATGGGCAAAGAATGATCAATACGAACCAAGCTATGGTTTAATAAGCAAAGAACCCTGGAATCCTATCCCACAGCCTCCTGTGTGGCTACATATGACATTGGGCTAGAGAGACAGCTCAGCGATTAAACATGCTTACTGCTCTTGCAGAGGACGGAGTTTCAGTTCCCAGCACCCACATGGTAGCTCACAGGCCACCTGTGATTTCAGTTTCAGGGGGACCCCACATCCTCTTCTGCCTCTAAAAACACTACACACACATGTACTCATGCAGGCTCACATTTATAAAAATAAAAACTTAAAAACAGAAAAGAGTTTGACAATTTTTATTATAAAACAACAAATGGCTGAGGAAATGGCTGTGTTTAGCATAAGCTGCACATTATTCAATGTATACAGATATCCAAACATGACACGGCACTACATTAAAGTGTATGAACTTTGTTTTTAATTGATTAGTTAAAATACAATCAAAAATACTAATAAATGGTCACTGAACATGTAATATAAACAGAAAAGTCCCAATCTAATTAAAATATCTCTAAAAACTTGATCAAATCAGATGTCAAGGATGTTGGGTACTGTGTAAACAACAGCCAAGCAATATAAATCAAGACTATGGCCTTGGAGATGATAGGGCCACTTCAGCCAATAATCAGAGCACGGCTCTACTTTCTGAAAACACATTTGAGTTATGGAAGTTTTAAACTATTAGAGATGTTCAAAATGCTTACTGAGCTAGTCTACAGTTTGATTTGGAAAGAAGGGAAAAGGGGATTCGAGGAAAGGCTGGGTAGCAGAAGAGTACAGTGACATGAGCAAAGCTATTAAATTTCTGCCAATGACCGGAGAGCAGTGAGAGACGAATAATACTGCATTTAAAGAAAGGAAACTTGGAGAAACTCGACTGCTAACTGGATACACGCGGTATGAATGAGCTTTATTAATTATAATTATAAGGTATGATAACGGTACTACAGTAGTAACTATTTTTTAAAAATTGATGAGAGAAAATAAGGAGCTGAATTCTGAAAGGAAGAAATATAGAGAGGTAGCGTCCTCTTGCTGTGACTTCACTTACGGACCACCCCCCAAAAGTCTTAAGGGAATGAGTGTGGGCACAGAAAAAGAATCTAAATTCAACCATCAGAACTTAACCAGACTTCCATCTGCATCTCTTCTCTTTGCTGACTTGGAAGCCCCCAACTCAATTTGGGCCTTGTGCTAATCTTTTTTATTTTACATTATGCATCTTCATATCGTTTCTTCCATCACTTCATAAGCATCTCAAGCAACCTGTAACTCACATGTGGATTAACCCCCTTTGTGAAAGGGGCTCAGAAAAATCCCATTAGCAGGAGCAGGTGTGGCGTCAGGTGGAGACCAGAGTGATAACGTTATCAAGATCTGCTTCACTGGGGCTAAGGAGATGGATCAGTGGTTAAGAGCACTTGGTGCCCATGCAGAGGACCTGAGGTTCAGTTCCCAGCACCCACGTGGTGGCTCACAACTGTCTGTATAACTACAGTTCCAAGGGATCCAGTGCCCCGCATCTGGCACCGTGGGCACATGTATATACACAAACAGGCATGCACACATATACATAAAAACAAATTTTTGAAAAAGAATTATTTTAGTAAACATCTTTACTGATCTCTGGATCTCCCAAATCAATTTAAGCAACCATGTTTTTCTACATTCCTACTTGTCTCTGCCAGAGTAGCTTCATTCAGTGGTATCAAAAGTAGAATCAAAACAATCTGTAAGGCTGGAGAGATGGCTCAGCAGTTAAGACCCACTGGCTGCTCTTCCAGAAGTCGAGAGTTCAAGTCCCAGCAACCACATGGTGGCTCACAACCATTTGTAATGAGATATGGTGCCCTCTTCTGGCCTGTAGGCATGCATGCAGACAGAACATTACAATACATACATAAATCTTTACAAAAAGATTCTTTAAGCAAAGCAGGAAGGTCACGTATTTCCACAATTTTTTAAATATTTATTTATTTATTATGTATACAATATTCTGTCTGTGTGTATGTCTGCAGGCCAGAAGAGGGCACCAGACCCCATTACAGATGGTTGTGAGCCACCATGTGGTTGCTGGGAATTGAACTCAGGACCTTTGGAAGAGCAGGCAATGCTCTTAACCACTGAGCCATCTCTCCAGCCCCACATTTGTTTTTTTTACGATGGCTTCTGATGATACTGAGAAAAGAGCTACAATAAAAGTTGTTAGATGCAGGGCTGGAGAGATGGCTCAGTGGTTAAGAGCAGTGCCTGCTCTTCCAAAGGTCCTGAGTTCAATTCCCAGCAACCACATGGTGGCTCACAACCATCTGTAATGAGGTCTGGCGCCCTCTTCTGGCCTGTAGGCATACAGACAGAACATTGTATACATAATAAATAAATATTTTTAAAAAAGTTGTTAGATGCAATATTTTCTTTTTTTCTTTTTAAAATTTATTTTTATCTTTAATTATGTCTGTATGTGTATGTGCACACATGTGGGTATGTGCACATTGCAGCTAGGTTTCTGTGGAGATCAGGCGCTAGGAACTGAACCCCAGGTCCTCTGCATGGGCACCAAGTGCTCTTAACCACTGACCCATCTCCTTAGCCCCAGTGAAGCAGATCTTGATAACGTTATCACTCTGGTCTCCACCTGACGCCACACCTGCTTCTGCTAATGGGATTTCTTTGAGCCCCTTTCACAAAGGGGGTTAATCCACACGTGACTTACAGGTTGCTTGAAATGCGTATGAAGTGATGGAAGAAAGGATATGAAGATGCACAAAGAAACTGAACTCCCTCGACCTGGAGTTCCATGTGGATGTGAGCAACCTAATATGGATGCTGACAGCTGAACTCAGATCCTCTGCAAGAGCTGCATACACTGTTCACCACTGAGGCATCTCCTCAGCCCTATATACAATATTTTCTCTAATAAGATCACTGGTGCTGATATATAGATAGACACAACAAAGAAGTACTTAGTTACAATTTTTAATGTGTTTTCTAGGGTCCGTGCTTTAGGCCTAGAATTCTAAGGAAGTCAAACCTCTGAGTCTTACATATAAAGTGGAGACTATTTGTAAATTTCCTCTTTTGCCAAGGCCATTGCTAGGACAAAGAGTGCTACCCGCGATACTACTATCAGCACAAGGGCTTGCACAAAGCTGGTACTTGATCTGCAGCTACTCAGGTTACTGAAAACATTATTCAAGAACACCCTAAATGGAAACTGAACAAAGAAAGTGTAGAAACACATTTATGCTTCTTGCTTTGATGAGAGATAACGGCACAGGCCCTGTTCAAACTCTCTCTCCTGGGTTGAGCTTCTGCAGACCAAGCCTGCTTTGTGGATTCTCAATTTTTCACTCAAACTGTCTGCAATGGTGCTTAAATCATTGCTCTCTCTTGCTGTCATCACATAGCTCTGAAGCAAATGTTAGAAGGTGGTTATTTAGATCC